GCCCACGGAAATTTCAGGGAAAGGCCCGCGTGCATTCAATATGCGTTCCCACTTGCCTGGTTGTAAAGTGCCCTTCTTGGTTGTAAATTGCCCTTCCCGGGTTTTGTAAGCTGGTTGTAAAGTGACCCATCTGGTTGTAAAGTGCGCTTCTGGTTGTAAAGTGACCCGCGCGCCCCCCCCCCCCCCCCCCAGTGCGCGCGCAAGGGCGTGCGCATGATGCTGGCATGCGGCGCCAGAGGCCCGCTTGGCAGTATTCCATGAGCACGCTGAGACATTGTCGGCGTTTTCTGTTCTTACATAATTATACATAAATACATACATGAATATGTGTATATATATATATATATATATGCGTATGTATATATAATCGCAAGAGCGCGAGCGCACGCTTTTTTTGAAAACTGACGCTGCGGAACCATATGTTGTTCTATGTTGTTTGACCGTCTGTTGTGAAAACGTTGCGGCACCCGAGGTTTTTGACGGATTCCGGGATGCCCGCGCGACGACGCGCGCGTGCGCATTTCAGGGCATGTTTTGCATAAGGAGTCTCGCGGCGACACGCGCGCAAGGGCGTTCGAACGATTTCGACATGCGCGCGCGCGAAGCTCGCTTGGTAGCATGTTATAAAAAAGGTTGTAAAACCTATGTTTGTTCTTTAAAAAACAAACAACCAAAAAAAGGAATTTGCGAACGTTCGCGCGCAAGGTTCTTGTTGAAAGTCCATGTTAAGAAACCCTGCTTTTATGTTTTTGGACACTCGATTTGAAAACCCCCACGAAACGAAGAGGTTGTTGAAGGATTGCGGCACGCGCGCGCGACAACGCGCCTTTGCGCTCTTCGTACCATGTCTTGCAAGGTTTTTTTGGAAATTGACGGTTTTTGATAAGCGAGTGCTAACGCATGATACTGTTTTGCAGAGGATGCAGGGGGGGGGGGCGGATACCGGCTTGGTTGGGATGGTACGAGTTCACATTTCGGATGGGCGATGGGGCAAACGCACATGCAAATTGCAATGCGAAAAGGGGGGTCGATCATTCAGGAGGGGCGGTCGGGTGATTTCCCTTTCATAACAGAGAATATATGTGGTGCAATTTGTACATGCACAATTTGCAAGGCCGTGACGAGACGGTGACGGGGCGGCGACGGCGCGCATGCAGCCGCCAGACCGACAGTCAGGTCCAGGCGACGCGCGGCGACGAGGCGGCGAAGGGGCAGCGACGGCGCGCATGCAGCCGCCAGACCGACATTCAGGGCCAGGCGACGGACGGCGACGAGGCGGTGACGGGGCGGAAAGGGCGAGCACTGAGCCGCCAGACCGACATTCGGGGCAGTGCCGTAGAACAGAAAAACCCCTAAGTACAAGGCTGGTTCAGAACAGACGGAGCGTTTTCAAATTGTTTTGCAGAATATCAACAGCCACGTCGCTTTGTTTCCTACAGTGTGTCGCACTTGAAAAAATATTAAACACGAGGTGGTTTTCAATGTTTTTAAACGAGCCTTTAATGAAAGCTGTGTGTTTCCCAGGTTCTTCTTTCAACATATGTTTACAGCAGTCGAGGTATAATTCTGTTGTGGGATCGCTACAACCCACCAGTTTTTCACGACAGCCGATAGGTCTACTACGTTTGGTTGTATGTCTTTTGCAGCCTCCAGACATTTTCAAATAGCTTTTTTCCCATAGGCGTTATGAGAATTCGAATGGCATCACATGTGTTCCAATATACACGTTATGGCTTCCAAATGCCCAATATGCTTGAAGGTTTCGGGCCGCGCGGCCACCCGACGGGCAGCGAGCTGAAAGAAAGTATAACATAGTTGGAAACACAGCGTCCCCAATATTTGTGTATGACAGAATTGGAAAGCGTTGTGGTGCCGAATTCGCGAACAAGGCGTTTTTTTTGAAAGCCTGTGAATTACATAGAGAATCGCTGTGTTCATTCATTGTATTGGCGCCGACATGTATGAAGCATGCTGTGTTCACTCATCTATCATACGAAATTCGAATGGTGTTCGGTGGGCATATCATGAAAACGAACCGCTGCGGTTTCTATATTAATATGGTGCCTCAGGGCTCGCCACCTGTCGGCCGGCCGCGCGGCCCGACAAGTCGAAACGTTTTGGCAAAAGTCGACCGCATGGCGTTTCTACCCGAAAGCATTTGAAACGATTGTTTTTTTGATGTTGGATTTTTTTTTATCTTGGATTGGATAACTACTTCAAAATGGTTGGGGATCGAAAAAATGTTTAGTGATTGTGGTTGAGCGCCGCTGGAAACAAACAAAAAAAATAACAACGTTAGCATAATCCCCGTATCAAGCACGGTAAGGACAGATCGTTTGTTGATTCATGCTCAGCGAGACCGTAGGAGCACACATTGTTTTTTGTAAATAGTATGTGTCTTGTTTTGTTTGCGCAAATGTTGGGAAGCAGCAGCGTTCCCAAATCACCGGCAAGCAGAATTACTTCATCCACATGTCGTTGGCAACGCAAAAGGGGAGCACACCGTGTCATTGACATTACCATTTGAACACGCTGCGTATTTGTATTGTTTTTGCGTAACATAGATGTGGAAATGGAGAGGTGTTTATCCGTGTTCAAACAAGACCATCGGACACGTTATATATTGCGTGCTGGTCTTTTTTCAAACAGTCCGAAGCACATGTAACAATGTTGGATTCGGGATGCTCTCAAGTTTTCTTAACTTCCGAGTCGGATCCTATCCGAGTTCTATGTTGACCACCCATTGGATACGGCATTTGTTTGTTTGTATTTCGGTCTTTTTGGAATCCAATAGAAATCCTCTGGATTCGGAATCCAGTCCGCCTTTGTCAGATTGATCTGAGGATCTTGTTCAAATCCAAACGGAATCTTGCGGATCTGTGCTCCGCCCTGTCTTGTTGAAGTCGAATTGGGATCGCTATCGGATCCAATCGAAATGTCGTGTGTATGGAATCCGCTCACTTCGCGCTGAAGGCCAATCGGGATTCTGCCATAATTCAAGCAGAAGTCGTGTGGATGCGGATTCCAGTGCGTTCCCAGTGGCACCAAGTGAAGATATCACTGAACCGGGTCGAAGCCCTCTGCGTGCGAGACTCGTTCCGCCAGTGTCGCCATCGGAGCAGGATGGATGGAAGGCGAGCGGGCCCCTTGGGAAAGAGAGCAAGATATGGAAAGAGAGAAAGAGAGAGAGACAGCATAGAAGAGGCAGGGGGCAAACGCGTAATCCAAACGCCGTAATTAGGTGACTTTTTGACCCCTCTGTGACAGAAGGGGTCCTTTTCGGAGGCCCTCTGTGACAGAAGGGGTCGTCATCCTTATCCTCGTCACCCTGCTTCTCGCATTTCTATCTCTCACGCTACTTCTGCGCTCATCATCTTCGTGATTGTGATCACCGTCGCGTTTCTTCCATGCTAATTAACGCACGCACTTCCAGCGTCGACAACGTCCGCGCTGGCGGCAGAATGCTTACACGGGGATGCCGTCGAAGCGAAGTGTGCCACCATGCAGGAGGAGGAGGAGGAGGAGGAGGAGGAATGAGGAGGAGGAGGAGGAATGAGGAGGAGGACGAATGAGGAGGAGGAGGAGGAGGAGGAGGAGGAGGAGGAATGAGGAGGAGGAGGAGGAGGAATGAGGAGGAATGAGGAGGAATGAGGAGGAGGAGGAGGAGGAGGAGGAGGAGGAGGAGGAGGAGGAGGAGGAGGAGGAGGGGGAAGGCGCGGCCGAACAAGAGGGCGGGCGGAGCGAGCGGCTCAGAGAGGGGTGCGGGCCGCCCCCGGAAAAAGCACACAACACGGGGTAGGGGGGAGGGGGGGGAGGGGGGGGCGTCGTCGGGGCGGCGGGGGGCCTGGCCTGCTCGGCGTGGGATTCTGCCCGCCCCGGCTCCCAGGAGCGGGGGGGGCGCGGCGGCGGCGAGGAGGGCGAGAGGGCGAGGAGGAGGACGGCGAGGAAGAGGGCGGGGGGGGGGAGGGGGGGGAGAAGCGCGAGGGCGAGAGGGGGGAGGAGGAAGGGGAGGAGGAGCATGCGAGGAGCACGAGGAGGCGATGGCCCCGCACCAGGCTCCGGGGCCCCGCCCGCGGGGCAGCCTTTGGCTGCCTCTGGCCGAAGTGACGCCGTGCGGTGGAGGCCGCAAAGAAAAACGGCTCGGGATGGCAAACCAGCGCAGGCCTAGAGGTTGACACCAACACCAATATCTCAGAGGAGGAAAACGTACCCATACCTCTATATCCTTCGGCCGTTTTCCCATTGTTGGGCCTCCCGGGAGGCCCTCGTCGCCACCGCTGGATTCGCCTCGAAATGTTGGTCAGAACGCATACCTGGAGAGGTCCAGGGGGTAACTGTATCGGTCGGTACCTATTGTTGGTTCCCCAAACATCGGCGGTGTGTCCTGATCTCGGTGATGGTGGTAATATTCTGGCTTCCAGGGTGGCCGAAATATGACCACCAATACCGAAGTCGAGGATCGTCTTCCCCCTGAGGAGGCAGCCCCCTGTGTTGGTGTTGGTGCCCATTCCCAGGCCTCCAAAACCAGTGCGGGGGCAGGGGTCCAAACCTCCAGGGCGGACGTTGCCGACAAACACGACGCTTGAGTGCAGCCCAGGAGCTGCAAGCATCGATCAGGGCGTGCGGACTGGAGCCAGGTCCCGCTTCGTGCAGAATCGGCGCGCTTCTCGGCCAAATCGGGCGGCATGTATCTCATGCTTCGGGTGGGATGTTCCCCAGTCCGTGGATCTCGCGTCTTGGGCCAGATCCAGCGATTCGCAACCCATGCTAGCGTGTACCCGATTCAGAGTCCTCTTCCCCGTGATATCTTCTTGCCCCATCGATCACCACCCTCCAAACCACCCCAACCCAACCCGAAGGCCCTGACTTGCCCTCCATTTCCATTGGGCGGGGGGGCGTGGAGCACAGAAAAAACACATATGGAAGCCGTACCCCCACCCCAAACCCGAAATTCGGGTCTTCGGGTTGGGTTGGGGTGGTCTGGTAGGTAGTCATCCGAGGCCCTGGCACGTGGAGCACCACGCCTGGCCCAACGTGCCCTTCCACAAGCTGGAGATGGTGCACGGGATGGTGAAGTCCGCGTGCCAGGAGCGCGCCCGTGCGCTCCATCCCCCCCTCTTTCTCGGCCTCGCCCCCTCAGGGAGGGAGGGAGGAAGGGAGGGAGGGAGGGAGGGAGGGAGGGAGGGAGGGAGGGAGGAGGAGGAGGAGGAGGAGGAGGAGGAGGATGAGGAGGAGGGGGGGGGAGGAGGAGGAGGAGGAGGGAGGAGGAGGAGAGGAGGAGGAGGAGGAGGAGGAGGCGGAGGAGGAGGAGGAGGAAGAGTGGAGTGGAGTGGACACCATCACGAGTGTGATCCTGACGAAGCACCCGAACTCATAGCACACTCTCGAACGCCAGACCCGCGCCAGCCTGCCTCAGGACCTTCGGATTTGAAGCCCGCGTGGTCCTGTGAGAAATCCCTTACCATGTGCCGAAACTTGCCCGCCGTATTCAACCAAAGTCACGCGCACGACAGTACAGAACTTGGACCCAGAGAGGCCTGAGGAGGAGGAGGAGGAGATCCTTCTCCGCACTCCCTCTGCCGCCCGGCCTCAATCTCCTGGTCTCCCGCCTCTCCCCGTCCTGATCCGTCGACTGCACGTAAGAGTGACCTTTCGCCAGAGCGACCTTTGGTGCGGGCACACTGTGGTCCCCATGTGGCTGATCGCGATGCGATAGCAGCGGTCTCTGCGCTTGGGCTTGGCCCCCTCGCGCCTCCTAGAAGCTGCGCACCAGAGGCCACTGTTACCCAGGGTCACTCTTGCGTGTAGCCGAATCCGCCGCCCTCCGCCGCGCGTCCCCCGCCCTCCGTCACCCCTTCCGCCTGCCGGAGCCGAGGGTCGATCCGTGAGGGGAGGGGGTCATAGCGGGCGCTCCGAAAGGAATTCGCGAAGCCCCCTCCCGGAAGCGGCGCTCGCCGAGGCGAGGTCGCCTTATTTCTTGCACCTGTTGCTCGGTGCACGTAGCTTACAGCATGGCCCACATTTGCTGTAAGGAGTCGCCCTTGTTGGCTTATGTGATGAAGCCGTTGATGGCAAAACATGCCTCTTCTCCAACCCTGCACGGCCTCCCGCGCCGCCCGTTGCCCTCGTCCAGCCGCGGGCCTCTGCCGCGCTCCCTGCCTCCAGCCTCGTCCTCGTGCCGCCGCTGCCGCCGCCCGCTGCGCCTCCTCGGCGCCCCCCCCTCTCGGGCCAGGCACCCGCCGTGCCGCGCCGCGCAAGTAGGGTCAGGTCGGGCACGCCCCCCTACCAGCGGAGCTTGGACGGTTTTTTCTATAAAGAAGATACCGGAGAAAAGCCCCAATCAGAGCAAAAGTGCTGGGGGGGCTATAGGGCTATTGAGCTATAGGGGTATACAGCTATAGGGCTATAGGGCCATTTGGCAATTGGGCTATAGGGCTATTGGGCTACAAGGCTATGGGGCTATAGGGCACCCCCGGGCACGCCCGGGCACACGGGCACCCGGGCATGCCCGGGCACGCGGGCACCCGGGCACCCGGGCGTGCGGCGAAAATCGGCGGCAAACCTCACTTAACTATATGAATCCGTTAGGACCCCGACAGAGGCCCCACTTCGAGCGCTCTGAAACGACCGTCGACCCTCGTCTTCTGCCTCCCCCGCCTCCCGAGGCGGGGATTTCTCCACCGCCCGCTGGGGCACCAGGACGTTGGTTCCCAGGCGGGATAAACCCCGCCTCGCTCCTC